GAGGAAGGCGAACCCCGGGCAGCCCCGGCGCCTTCCCACCTCATGCTTGGGCCGTGAGGCAGCGAGCTGCCTGCTGCGGGTGTGAAACAACGTCCAGCCACCACTAAATGTAGAGGGTGTGCAGATGAAAAAAATAAAAACCTATTTCATCACAAGGAAAAAAAAAAGTGTCGTTTTATTTTTAGCTATTTCCACACATTTCTTAATGAAACCTTACGACAGAAGAGAGAAATCATTACGCTTGCTCAAAACAAGTGGCAGCTTCAGTCAAGTTCCAGCATGGAGAGCAGGTGGTGGCACTGCCTGCAGTAGGACATGGGACGTTTCCCGTGCACTGTGTCGGCTTTCTGCTAACCTCTGGCTGGTACAGGACTTTGACAGAAGCACTGAATATGAAGTGAGAAAGCCTTTCAAAATGGTTTTTACCCTGCCTGCCCTTCCAGGATTTCAACAGCTTGGGAAGCAGCTCCTGTCCGGCGAGGGCTGGCAGAGCTCCTCCTCAGTGCCCCGACCTTCTCCACACTCAGCTGCAAGAACAGACTAAAGCTCTCCCAATTTTTATTGACAGACGATTAACCTTAATATACACAAACAGATAAAACGCCAGAATCCATCTCCAAATGATTTTTCCGAACACTGAAAGATAGGCAATAAATAATACTTAAATGAAGAACATTCCCTTTAATTGCTTTAATACCGTCCCAGCTTACGCAGTAATCTGACAGCCCTTAACAAGAACAGAATGTCTCTGTTAGAGACAGCATTCCATTTTACCAAACAAAAACTAGAAAAAATTTTAGCTTAGTAAAACATTGCACAACGATAAACTCAGGCTACCCTTATGCGGTACACACGCTTACAACCCCACAGGAAACCTTTCCAGCAGCTACAGAAGAGCAGAGAGAGGCTCACTGGAGCAACCAGAAGTTGGCAAACGTTTTCATCGTGAATTACGTCAAGTGCAAATTAAGTGATTAAGAAAGTGACTGAAATAACGACAGCATGTTTACTACATAAAATATATATTCTAGAGAAGAAATTTAGCTACATAAAAAGCCTTTTTTCTTTTCCTAAGGAGAATGGAATGAAAAAGTAATAAAGATTCAGTCTCTAGAAGACAGAACTACAGTTTGTAGATCATCCAAATGATATTTAGGTACTTAACCTTATATACGCTATAGTCAAACCACACCACGTTTGACTATTTTTTATTAAATGCCTCCAGTAAACGCAGCAGGTGTAAGAACAGATTGATGATGTCCAAGTAGAGATTGATTGCAGCCAGTATGTACTCTTCAGGGGATAATTTGTGCATCAGCAAATGAGTGTCATAAATAATAAATCCACAGAACAGAAGAGCTCCGGCAGCAGCAAACACCAACTCTATTGTCTCACTGTAGAAAAACAGCTGGAGGCAAATGAAACGTGAAAAAAAGGTAATTTTAATTTTTTTTTAATATTAAAATCCCTGTATAATGATACGCCACACCTAAAACAAGGATATACACTGTCTTTTTACTGTTATGTACACACAAATACAATGTTAGGATGACATTTCAATGTTGTTATTTCATATAACTCCCAGTCACACAATGTCTTTAACTGCATAAAACTGCCTCCACTTAAGAGAAAGGAAGCTCTGGTCTCCAGAGCTGGTTTTCTACTGTTAACAACAGTAGAAAAATTAGAAAACCAAATTATAATTAAACCCCAAATCTCCTTCCCCTTCTCTCAATCAACTAGTGGCTCTCAACTGACAAATTTTGTCAGTCAACACAAATACCACTTTCACATTTGCAATAACAGCATCCAACGAAAATCTGAATTGGAAATGAATGGTTAAAGATCACCAGCATGATCTACATCAGTAATGGATCTGACTGGGAATTTTCTTTCATTAAGCTATATTGGACTGTCCAAAACCTTTTTGTTACACTGGAAGTTAGCAAAAGATTTATGTAAAAGAATAATTTTTAATCTTGAATGTAAGGTATCTTACCCTCAAGAAACCCGAGAAGATAAGAATCCATAAACAAGCGAAGAGGCTGAAAAAAAAATTAAACTGTGAGCAATAGTATCTTTTCTTTTAAATTTTACTTAAAATCTCTTCCCTTCCTATAAAACCTCTTCACAATATATTTGGCAAGCAAATATCTGTAATTCTTAGGTGCCAACTGTTTGTTCGTATCAGTAGTAAAACTTGGTTTTATAAAGTTGTCAAAAGTTATGTCCTGACTTTACTTTTTTAAAAATATTTGAAGCAGCTGCCTTCTGTCTCAGTGGAAAATGCAAGTAAACTAGTTTTCTAGCATAATACTATGGTTTTAAGAATCATAATCACAGAAAAGAATTTCTTACCAAGAAAACAGAACTGCAGAAAATTAATAATTTAAGATAAGTAACACCCTTACCATTCCCTTGAAGGAGGTTCTATTGACCTGTATTCATTATCATATCATCTGCAAAACTTGCTTTAAAAAAGGAAAAACTAGCTTAACAAAAAAAAAAAAATCATCAATATGGTAACATACCCTGCTCCAAACTTGCTGAAGTCTCTCTTTGACTGCAAGGTATACGCGGTCAGTCCAAGAAATACAGCAGTAGTAAGAATAAAAGCTTGCAAGACGATGGACACATCATAGAAACTCACTATAAACAGAAGTAGTAAACTGTCATTTAAAGAACGCTATGCTATGGATCTGCTAAGTTATCTTTTGAGGAAACAGAAGTTTAAACTTTCACAGACAGGAAAAAACAAATCTTAACTGTGAACAAAAGAAAGAAATTATGCCTGAGCTTGTCTTTGCACTTCAAAATCAAGATCATAGGACTCAAGGACCCTAGCACTAGCTAAGTTTGAGAGTTATAGTATAGCCGTAGCTTCTTAAATGGAGATAACAGATCTTCCCTACTCACAATAAAAATAATAAAAAAAAGAAAATAGTAAGTACTTTTAAGCCTAGCTATGTGAGATCTTAAGGAAAAAGCTATCTGAATTTTTCAGGATACTGAAACAAGAAAAAAAAAAATCACAAGACAATCAGTCCTCTGTAAAGGTTCTTAAAAGTTTTGATTGGGGGTAGGAAGGGAAAGGTAAGAGAAATGAGTCGACCTTTGTTCTTCCCTCCTTCATCTTTTTTTTTCTCCAAAGGACTTTTTTTTTTTTTTTTTTTGCAGGAGATCATAAACCATAATAAAGAGGTTTCAGCTTATGCTGGAAGCTATAGTGCAAGGTGATGCCAGGACTTGTCTGCCCACTGCCCCATCTCAATTCTGACAAGAAAGTACAGAACTCTCCGAACCCAAAGTAATTCCCTTGGAGGAAACTGAGAGGGAAGATACAGTTATTTCATTTGCAGGTCAGCTCTGCTGAGAGCTGCCGTATAGAAAAAAATATTGCCAGCTGTACTGAAAGAACGGATGGCACAACTCATTTCTCACTTCAGGTTTACACAGTTTCAGTTCTGGATCAGAATCCAGTTTTCTCCCTTGATTTCCTGTTTTTTGCTAAACTTATATCCCTGTCATTAAAATTTTCAAACATTGGATTTACTATCACTTTAGTTACATCTAGGAATCTCAGATAGCAATTGGTACAACATATTTGATTCCTTTTCCAATTTCTTTAAGGAATCAGACAATTTACCTGTAATGGCAACTGTCAGGGCTTCCAGTAGGGTCTATAAAAAGTAAAAAAATAAATTACACAGAGACTTCACATGTGATGAGCCCCATTCTGCTACATAATCCCAGCATGCATTACATTAGCTCTCTTTTTAATTTTTTGTATATAAAAACTTTTAATTTCAACATGAAAATGGCAACCATATGGCCCTACTGTGCTGGAAGTTGTTTGTTACATAAAAATAATACAATATAGACTGAAAATAAATGAGAAAAATGCCTTTTTTTCTCCTCAAAGCACACAGCATTCTTATCACACTACTTACAAACTATTCAAGAGGCTCTAAAATTGCTTTGAGCTGCTACTGGAAATGAACTGTCTTCAGCTCTTTGCATACTTTTCAATATTTGAAATACTTTCATCCAACACTCTTAATATCTCATTAGACAGCTAAGCATCTGCACCGATTTCCTTTTCCCACTCATCCTTGTTATGAAACAGCTAACTTAAAATCAAATATATTATTGATGTCTGGGCAGAAAAGCTAGTATGGGCCCTGATTTTTTCTAAAAGGTAATGTCAAATTAAGTTTCATTACAACAAAAGATGAGAAAAGTATCTATGGCATGAACCAAGAGGTCAGAACTAACAGAACATTTAACATGTATTTTGTTTAAACCAATTTATCACACACAGATTTGAACCCTTCTATTCCTACGCAATGTAATACTTAAACTGTCATACCACAAACTCCCACACCACATTTGGCCAAACTATTACATCACTCCTTGTTACAGCTGCACTTGTTGAAAGTTTTTAAACATTTCACTCTACTGCAAGAGTTCCAAGGAAGCACGCAACTGCATTAACATTTAAACAGTCTATTTATTACACAGCAAAGCTGTCTTCCCATTGTATCACAAATACAATTTAGGCAACTCCTAAAGCATCAAATTCCTACTGTGACTACTTTTCAGAAGACTGCTTTGCTCCACAATCCAAAATATCCAAGAGCAACAGTTAGCCCATATCTACAAATCTGCCACATCAGGCAGGAGACTGAAATTTGAGGACAGCTCTGATTGACCTGCCTGTGTTGGAAACATGCTCAGAATTTAGCATCAGAAAGAAAACAATTAATGAAACAAACACCTATAGCTGGTTGCATTCAGGTCTTTGCTGGAGGCTGTCCATTAAACAAATAAGCTAAGAGAAATGCCTCCTTCTTTCCTATTGACCAGTAAATCACTGACATCAACAGAACAATGAGAGCAGAGAGACAGATGTATTTATACACATACACACACACTAAAAAAAAAAGCTTGCACAACCTAATTCAAAGTTCTAACACTGTTCCTAAAAAGATGCTGAAAGAAACCTGAAGTAGAAGCTATCTAGGAACAACCTCAGGATAGAACCTCCAAAAAATAACTCCGAACTTCGTAAGTATCACGGAATTTTCAGAGTTGGAAGGGACCTCTAGAGATCATCTAGTCCAACTCCCCTGCTAAAGCAGGATCGCCCAGAGCACATTACTCAGGACTGCATCCAGGCGGGTCTTGAAAACCTCCAGAGAAGTACTTAGGTTATCTTTCAAGGAATACAAGAAAAACAAATTAGCCACCACTAGTTTGCTTCAAGGAGTTCATCACAAGGGAAGATATTCTAGGGATTATTAAAATAAAATTTATATGAATACTTACAAATCCAAAAAGCAGGTATAAATTAACAGGATGCTGGTGTCTGTAGAGGGTCAGTGCCACAATTATAGCCAAAGATCCAAACCCAGATACCAAAAGCAAGGCAGGCCTGTAAAGTTCCATACAAAAAAGTCATCAAAATTACAGTATCTGGAAGACTAAAAACAGCTTATATCAAACAAAGTTTTTAAGTGATCACCTAGATGAAGATACTGCTCTGTATATCCAAAGTAAATGTAAAGCAAGTTTTTCAATAAAACTGCTCTAAAACATACCACCAGAGACAATCAGTTAAAAATAGTACAGTCACAAGGAAAGACAATTTTTTCATACTAAAGCTAAAGATTGACCAGGAATCCATCACCTGGAGATGAACCCGCATGAAGAGGAAAATCTATCAGTACTAAAGTAACAGTATTCAAGTATATGTAATATTTTGCCTATTAAGAACTCCACATTCAGGTAGCTGTTTTTTACAAGCACCTGAATGCAACAAACATGGGCAATAACTGTACCAAAGAAAACCAGTACTGATCAGTAAATATCACTATAATTAAATCATTCAAGCAGCCCTCCAAGCAAAAACTAGACCAAAATCAAACACAAAACCACAACAGTTTTAAGTGAGGATGATTTTAAATTATCAGATTTAAGTATAAAACTGTCGTTTTATACTGTATACACTGTATCTTATACAGAAACTTTCATATAGTGCTTGATGCTCCCTTTTTATCAGGCCCATGAAGTGAAAGTAAAAGCAAAGTCTGCAAGTGCACTTATGGGAAACCAGACACTGGGCTCAGCGGTCCCCTCCTTTCCCCAGCTGTTCTTTTCCCCTGCCTGTTCACAACTTTGGGTTTTGAGACTTGTTTTTTTCTCATGGAAATCTGAGAGGCAAAAAGAAGCAAGCCCACAGGAATTTCAGCAGACTAGTTTTCAGGAAAAAAAAAACAAAAGAAGATGGGGGAGGGATCAGGGAAGGAGGGAGAGGAGTAAGACATGATTCAGCTTTTTGGAACAGGTACCTATAAACAAGAGCACTCCAAACAGATTCTAAAAGCAGACACTTAGACCATAAAACAAGAAATGTCAATGACTGAGATGTTCTGGAACTGACGTATAGGTTTTCATAGCACAAAAATTAAAATACGTACTATTAATAAAGTATTGATTAAGATAAACTTCAATAATAAAAATAAATTTTAATAACAAACCAAGGAAAAGAAAAGTTATTTCCTAATCAGGTTACAAAATTTCTATTACAAAATCAAAACAAAAGGTATAAAAATGATTAGGAATACTGATGTGTTCCAGAGCAAAATACTACATAAACTATACTTAACACACAACAAACAGCCCCATTTCATTTTAGCGTTTACCTTTCGTGAACAAATGCTTGTACTCCAGTGGAGTACAGAAAAATTGCTGATGTGACTGTGGTCAAAAGAACTTGAATGGAAAGAATACTGTAGACTTTCCGTAGAAAAGCTAGAATAAGAAAAATAAAAATACAATCACCTTTGAGTTACAAAGTTCAGCAGTACAGCACATACAAGTTTTCTATTTGATATGGAACCACTAGAAGGTCTTTATTCAGTGAAAAAGTACAGAGCAAAGCAGGAAGAAGCCATTTTTCCTTAAAAAACTGATACGGTATTCCAGCAAAATTACACTTACTCCTAGACGTCATTACTTTTTAAAAACTACATAGACCTAATCTCACTAAGAAATTTCTAACAGTATACCTTCTCCATCACATTGTACATCTAATGGACCTAAATGAAGAAAGATTAACTTGGAAGTTCTGTGGAAGACAGAAACAGCCATAAAAGTTAAAAAAGGAAAAACTTTTACAGTAATATCTATTTGATTGACCTTCTGCCATGTTAAATATCATTTATCATCATTTGCAACTTGCATTGTCTGAGCTGGTACCTACAGATACAGACTGCTAGAAAAAAAATTAAAAAATCCCAGAATTTATCATAGAATCATAGATTGGTTAGAGTTGGAAGGGACCTTAAAGATCATCTAGTTCCAACCCCCCTGCCATAGAGTGGAGGACACACAGATAGATCATTACAGATGTTCTCTGTTCTGAATGGAAGGAGACCAAGTCCATTAGGCAAAATGCTCTGAAAGGAAAAATGAGCTTACAGGGAGAATCCATCCAATCTTTAATAGCACAGCCTAAACAAGTTTAAGAGTACACACTAACTATGATAAGCTGAATTACCTGCTTGCAGCAGATAAAGTTAAATATACTTGTAAGCCATGAGGGACTGGGGTCTACTTTGTTGTAATAAACTGAACAAACCTAGAAGTAGTCTGCTAGCTAGCATAGCCTTCTCCCCACATTATTAAACTCATCAGCAATTTTGCTAACGGCAATACCTCTTTCATATTTTCTATGGTGTCCTTTATTTTCCAAACATGATAAAACTGTATTTTTACAGGAAAAGGTCTCCTGTTTATCAGAAATATTTAATATAAAATTCACAGCACACAGCTGTTTTTATTCCAAGATGTATCCAATAACACCATAACTATTTCAGCAACGATTACTGATTAGACACTTTTCTGAGTACCCAATGCATTTGAGACCTCCATGTTAACAGCAAAGCATTATTTCACGGCCACTGCTGTGACCTTACAGCACGAAAATGCTTAAGTGGAAGAGACAATATTTTACGACCTCGCCGAAGAAATTCAAATCCCTCAGTTTCTTGGTTAAAGGAGTGTAATTATGGTCACCAATTTGCTTTTATACATCTTATGTACCATGCTTGGACTTCAGAGCGCATCACTCTGGAGAAAATCAAGTGTGGATCTATATGGGTTTAGTCCCTCTATCAAAGCCCTGCTCCCTACACACTGAAATGATAAAATCCAGTTTTTTGACGGCCACTGATCTTTCACCTTCAACGCTTAACCTGGACCAAGCACCGCTCCCCCGCTCCCCACTCTCAGCCTTTACCCAGAAGGTTAAAATATTGCGCAGAACCCGAATTCAGCTAAACCCCACAGGCGATGGGGTTAACAGAGAGGAACTCGTTGGGAGCACTGGGGTACGACACCCCCGTGCCCCCCGCCCTCCCCCCCGCCCAGCCAGGGGAGGCAGCCGGGGCCTCTCCGCAAGGGCTGGGGGAG